GTATATACTACATATAAGATCATATGTATAATATAGAAAACAGGGGACAAAGTTATGAAATCTTGTGAGTAGAAACAAGTATCTTGAAGGGGGTAAGTCACTTGACATAGGGGCTTAGCCCTATAGCATTGGAGGGTATCTAGGTCAGTACTCTACAGTGTAATTTGATGAGTAGCCACTGGGGTCAGCTAAGATGAAACTCTTGATCTTTCTCCTTCTGGAAAAATAAAAAGTAAATAAAATCAAAGACTCAAGAGTGAAAAAAAGAATCAAATAAAATTAGTCCACGGAGCTAGTGAACCACACAAACCACAGCCTCCACTACCCTGAGTCCTGGAGGAGAACTAGAATAACTAGAATGGTGCCCAGATATCCCTACCAAACTTCTGTGACCTGTCAATAGAAGGTCCTGGACAGAGTAGAACAAAATTCAGAATCACCAGACTGGTGATAGAGACTGGTAGAGCTCCCAAGACTGTGGGCTTTAGATAACCTTCAAACCCAGAACTGAACCTTCCCAGCCAAACAGTGGGCAGGCCTGTAAAATGAACAGTCACACCAATGAGGAACGTTCTGCACAGAACAGTCAACCATCCAAGACCAGCATGGTAGCATCTGCTCCAAAACAAAGGTCAAAACGCAGGAAGAGATAGGAAAGAAGGAAGACTGAAAATGGGCAATCCAAGGAAGAAGTGGCAAGAATGCTAACCATTGAGGGGACTGCCCCAAATGTTACAAAACAAAATGTATATCAATTATTGAGTGGAAAACTAATTTGTTACCTAAATCACACACACACACATACATACAAAAGATTATACCCAAGAAAAGCCTAGTCAGTAATCTGGAATCACTTGAGTTGGAATTGACTTGATGGAAATAAGTTTGGGATTTTGATTTTTAATCTTTAAGGAAGCAGATTGCAAGAACTTTTTTTCTAGGAGTTGCTGGGTAGATTCACATTGTCAATCTTTAGGTTACCAGCCAATCAAAAACTCCCTGAGTCACCCAGACCACCCCCTGTGGCTTTGTCATTGTTGTTAGGTACTGTGGAGTCCATTCCGACTCATAGCAACTCTGTGTAAACAAAACAAAACCCTGCCTGGTTGTGCACCCTCCTCACAAGAATTGTTATGTTGGAGCCCATTGGGGCAGCCACTCCTATCAATCCATCTCACTGAGGGTCTTCCTCTTTTTCAGTGACCCTCAACTTTACCAAGCTCGATGTCCTTTTCCAGGAACCAGAAAGTCTCGCTATCCTAGCTTCCAAGGAGCATTCATTCTACGTCTTCTTCCAAGACAGAATTGTGTATTTTTCTGACAGTCCATGGTATATTCGCCAACAGCATAATTGAAAGGCATCAATTCTTTTCTGGTTTTTATTCATTGTCCAGTGTTCACATGCATATGAGGTGATTGAAAACACCATGGCTTATGTCAGGCACAGCTCAGTCTTCAAACTGACAACTTTGTCTTTAACTCTTTAAAGAGGTATTTTGCAGCAGATTTGCCTAATGCAATATTTTGTTTGATTTCTTGACTGCCACTTCCCTGGGCATTGATTGTGGATTCAAGTAAAATTAAATCTTTGACAACTTAAATCTTTTGTCCATTCATCATGATATTGTTTATTGGACCAGTTGTGAAGATTTTTGTTTTGTTTAAATTGAGGTGCAATCCATCTGAAAGCTGTGATTTTAGGCTTTAATAAATACTAAAGCAATTCAAAGTAGGGTTATCTTTCTTTCATAAATTGACTACTGAATTGTTGAATTACTTTGCGGTCTCTCAGTTATTATATTTTCACAAGAAAATGTGAGCTTGGTAATATGTAAGAATCAGCTTTTGCAATTTTCATATCTTACAGTATAACTTTACAGAAATGTGACTTACATGTAAAGTGTATGGATCAGGCATGATATGACAAGTATAAGTTGGGTTATACGTTGTTCCTTACTGTCCTAATGAAATTTAAGCATTATTTATTTCTCTAATACATGATGTTTTCAGCAGCATGTAAATTGATTTTCTTATATCTGTTTTTCAGAGAATACCACCCAGATAAGCAGACCTTTCAGGTTCTGAAAATAATCATCACTTTGATGTGAATCATTACTGGTTTCAGTTAAGGGGGAAAAAAAATTCATTCTAATCTAATCAAAGAAGGAAAGAAATTTTGTGTTTCATTGGAATCTTTCTTGTTTTTGAACTAAATGCAAAATAGCTATAAAAGTTCCTTTAAAAAAGACATAAAAATTGTGTATAAATGGACATCGGTGTTTTTACATGCATTGTATCATTTCATTTGACTATGGTTAATTGTGTTATTTCTTGTGTGCATTCATCATTATTCATATTTCAGTATGTTCTTTTGGAATTGCACTACATCTTGACTTCCTTTTCCCTGTTGATTTTCATGTCTCTGTGTTTCATTGCCATTTTCCATTTTGCAGATTGTCCCACATCATCTCATTCTTCTATAACTGTCTCCCCATCACCTGCCTTCTTTGATGAAGAAGAATTCAGTGACTTTATGCAGGGGCCTGTTGAAGTTCCCAAATGTGGGCCTTCTTCCACTTCCCAGGCCTTTCAGTCTTACCACCCCACCACCCCAGTTGGCCAGTTGCATACACAGAAGGCTGGGGCACAGCCTCTCCCTCCAGGTCAGATTCCAGTGTCTTTTGCCTTACCTGGTGTCCCTGAGCAAATTCCTTATTTCTCTACTGCTTCAGCCTCACACACTGTACAGAAAGCAGGTAACTCAACATTATTGATGAAAATGTTCTTATAATACTCTAGGAAAATTTGCTTCTGTTCTATAAACAGAATACCATCCAGTATCGGTAAAGAAACTTGTACATGAATTGCATGAGTAGTTTTTAAATCTACCAAAATAAGAGCCTATATTTTTTCAATTCTGGGGGCCTCATATTTCAGAAAAGTGGTTTAAACTTTTGCTCCTAAATTAGGAGCTCTTTAAACAACCCTAGAGCTTTTTTAATCACCTGATTTCTTAAGGTGATTACTCTTTTGTTTAGGAAAATCACCAGTATGGCTTCCTGAAGAATTATGCACCAGGGAGAACTACTTTAGAATATGCTTTCTCTGGTTCAGTGATGAGCAGTCTGCTTATCTTTGGACAAGTCTTTAGACATCTCTATCCTCAGTTTTATCCTCTGTGTAGTACTGAGGGCAGCAGAAAGGTCTGAGGTTTCAATGCTCAGCTGCTCTGCAGGAGAAAGATGTGATCGACTGCTTCTGTAAAGATATACAGGCTTGCAAACCCTGTGGGGCAGTTCTATTCTGTCCTATAAGGTTGCTGAGGTGGAATCAATTGACTGGCAGTGTTTTTGGTTTGCTTTTAATGTATTCAATCTTGAGATGGTAATGGAAGAACACTTAGAAGACACATACTTAATCCAAACTCTCTCATTTGAGGGATGTAAAAATAGACCCAGAGATGATGTTACTGGCTAGAGATCTACTCAGTGGTTAGTAGAAGTATCTGTATCTTTTGTAACTCTCCAGATTTCAAAGTTAGTCAGTCTTCTTTCATGACACCATTCTCCATACTCTCGCCTAGAATTCTTGAGAGTCAATGAAGATGATGTATGTACAAGTTCTCGCGAGTATCTCAAAGTCTCTCCAAGTCGTATACAAATATGCAGTGGTTGAATTATATTCAAGTTTTTATGTGGCAAGACCTTTTCTCTAGAATCTGGGGGTGGAGTGGATAATTGAAAAGATAAGAAATAGAGACCAATAATCCTTCATGCTGTTTGTTTAGGCCCATCTTTGGAGGAGACACTTCTAGTATCTTGTGACATAAGTACATCTGGGCAGGAGCAAATTAAATTAAAAACTTCTGAAGGTGGGCACAAAGCCCCATGCCCAGCTTCCAGTAAGAACCACCCCAGTTTAACAGCCAGGAATGGGGGTGCTGTAGATGCCACCTCAGCAGAGGCAGAAAAGACTCCAGACCAAAAGCTGTCCATTGAAGAGTGTGGTGAGCCCATGACCCTTCAGCAAAACAATCCGTGTAACTAAATGTGCTTCAGTGCTAACATCTTAATCACAAACTGTGCTTCAATGCTGACATCTTAAGCATTAATCTTCAAATGAATGCTGCTTAATTTTGCTAGTTGAAAATTTTGCTTAAAATAAATTTTATGCATCCCTTTCTATAATTAACCACTAAGATTTTGCTCTGAATTCTTTCAACACATTATTATGCCTTTTTAAGAAATTATTTTGATAACCCGTTTTCTTAATCAGAATCATTCCTGTTTTTAAATATTCCTTCCTCTCTCTTATTTGATAAAAACTGTCTTGTTTGGTTTTTTTTCCTGTACAACTTTCCATTCTAAATAAAGATTGAGAAGTTAAAATTATAACTGGAAAAGTCACCAATGAAAACATAGTTTTACTAAAAGTCTCTGAAGTCTAAAAAATCCAATTTTTTTTTTTAATTCAGCTCACAGAGAGCAATTACAATGTGGACAGCCCAAGAGGCAGACTTTAAAGGGTTATCCTACTAGATAAGAAGGTATTGAATTGGGCTACAAAACAAAACAAAGCAAAACTTTATACATCTAAGACAGTAGTTTTCATATTCAAATTTAAAATCAGCATTTGAGAAGAAACAAAAACTGCATAAAGCTTTGGGGCAGTTAAATTGTTTATGGATATATATTTTTTTTAAACTGCTTATCATGTTTTTTTCTTTTAATTTATAATCTATATGAGATGGTACAAGACTCATATGGTTTAGAATATTGATTGATTTGGTGCACTTTAGTTTTTCTTTAGAGTATAGTTAATGTACATGAGTTGTTTAGAAACTGAATATTTTAGTTGTATTGGTGACTTTTTATTTTATTTAAGTATCTCCAGCCAGTGCTCTTCTATATAAAAAAAACATGATTCGGTGTGATTTCCTCATCTTCCACATGGATCATTATGTACAATAAATAATGTTCCTAATGTTCCTTGTCTTTTAGGTGTGGGAGTGTTTCCCTCACAGGATCCCGTTCAGCCCAGAATGCCTCCTTGGATTTACAATGAGAATTTGGTTCCAGGTACGAGTTTCCTTGCTCAGGATCCCTGTTTGAATCATTTTGCTTTAGATGTTTAGATGTTGTAAATGTTTACTATTGTGGTTTTAAAATACACAGAAGGAATTTTAAGGTTTTTCTTTGTTTTCTTTTCCTAAAGGAATATATAAACTTAAGTAAAAACTGTCCTAAGGCTACCTCGTAAGGGAATAGCTCTAAATGCGAGAGTAATGTTTTCGTTTTAAAGTTTCATTTAAAGGAGCCCTGGTGGTGCTGTGGGGTACACATTGAACCGTTAACCAAAAGGTCAGAAGTTCAAACCCACCCGCTCCTCTACTGGAGTAAGATGCAGCTGTTTGTTCTCAAAGATTTAGTCTCGGAAACCCTCTGTCTTGTAGGATCGCAAAGAGTCCATATCAACTCGAAGGCTGTAGTTTTTAATTATTTTAATACTTTTATTTCTAAAAGCTTCAATGGATTTGTCAGGCGTGGAAAAACATTATCAAATATTTCTTTTATAGATTATTAAATAGTATTACTACTTTTAATTACTCCTATTAAATTAGTTTTTAAATGCATACTAATTTTCTGAACTGATAATGATTAGTTTTTATTTTATAAATACTCTTTGATCCCTTTGTCATGTGATACTATATGAAGTAAAAGACCATGTGGCATCTTTTTACCACATTGGAAGAAAGTTCACTGTTTTATGTGTCCTATTACTGTCGAGCCAAACAAAGCCACTGAGGTGCTCATTTTGTGATATTAGTTGAATATAGTCATCTGTCTATGCCACGATGATGTGCAGAGACCATTAAACCAGCACATGCATGCTGTCACGTGTAATTTTGCTGTGTACCTCTTAAAAAACTAATGGTAACTCATTAGATCTTCAATTTTCTTTTCTGGTCATAGACTAAAATTCCTTTTCCCCCAAAGTTAATTAAACTCATACAAGATATTCACAGCTGAAGTTTTGTGGAAGAAACCATTAATGTCTGTCTAGTTTGTATCATAATCACATATGGAAACATATCGGACTGCAATTATACATAAAATTTATGTTTTATTCTATTGCCCATTAGACAGTTTTTCTTTCTCTTCTCTCTCCATAAGCCAGATAATAAATCTAGAACTTGATTTACTTTAGAGTTCTATTCATTTTGTGTTAACTTTTATTTCTTTTTCCACCTTCCAAACATACATGTATGCATACTTTCTTAGCCAAAATATTTGTTTTAATAGTCAGAATCTTAACATGTAATCCTAGATGCTAAATTTTTCTTTTAAGCATTTCTCTGTCTTCCTTAACCATAGCTACTGTCATCCCTAACACCATCTCTAACTAGGATTGTCAGATTTAGCAAATAAACAGACTGCCCAGTTAAATTTGAATTTAAGGTAAACAACAGATAATTGCTTAATGTATGTATATCTGATGCAGTATGGGTGTCCTTACTTCATTTGGCAGCCCTACTTCTAACAGCCTTTGCCACTTTGTTCTTTGGAAACCTAATTTATTATGAAAAACTCCCCAATTCTCTCATCTTTTTTTCAAACACTTGTTCTGTTTCCTCACATTAACTGATAACCAGATCTTTCCCCAAGCTTCTAGTTCCATTGCACCTTCCCCAATAGTATTTCATTGGGCAGGTGGTGTTGGTATAATTCTTGCTTCTTACTGCTATTTTCAAACTGTTCCCATTACTCGCTGACTTCTTCTCTGTTAAAAGTACGCAGTGTCTACTTATACCACGTCTTCTTGTCATTACAATCTTCTACTGAATTACAAAGCTTTCTCTTACTCTCAGTCCTAAATCTTTATCTTTAGGACCAAGTACTAATCTCTCTTGAGCTTTAGACCCTAAATGTCCACTGGAAAATTCCACTTGGATAACTTTATAGCAGTGATGGCTCTGGATTAGAAATATTCTATTAGAGCAGTTTGGAGATTATTTTGTATAACAACAACAACAATAATTTTTTTTTAAATGATTTGTAATGCATTTACTTTTTTTTATTTAAGTTTTTGTGAGGTTTACATGGGAGAACATCAGCTTTACACGCATCCTGTCGTATTTCATTTCATGTAATGCATTTTCTTTTGTAATATGGTCTTTCTTTTAATAGATGCTTATAAGAAAATTTTAGAAACCACAGTGACTCCAACTGGAATAGATACTGCTAAACTTTATCCCATTCTGATGTCATCTGGACTTCCCAGGGAAACTCTTGGACAGATATGGGCCTTAGCTAATCGAACTACACCTGGCAGACTTACTAAAGAAGAACTTTATACTGTTCTGGCCATGATAGCAGTAACACAGGTACACAATGTTTCTGCAGTTAGATCAAATAACCTTTGGTATAAATTGAAAGACTGTGAAATTCTTTTTTTTATTATAATACTGTAGAATCTATACATTGAAATTTAGATCATTTTCAGGATGCAGTACTGCAAAAATCCGCAGCTTCGATGTGGCAACAATTGTGAGGTTGGCCCAGGACCGAGCAGTGTTTTGTTCTCTTGTGCATAGGGTCACTATGAGATGGTACTGACTCAATGGCACCTAACAACAGCAACAAATGATGTACATGGACTCCTGGTGTGGTGCTGTAGGATTAACACTGCACTGCGAACCACAAGGTTGGCAGTTCAAACCCACCTTCTGCTCCTCGGAAACCCTATACAGGGTCACAGAGTCGGAACTGACTCAACTGCACTTAACAACAACAATGATGTACATACTAACAAAATATTCTTTTGTTTAAAGACTCTTTAGGATAGTAACATTCTCTGGGTGATAATAACTTGAGAGTTAGCCAGTACTAGGCACAATTACTCTCTCTGCCCTTTGAAGTCCTTATTTAAAATCCCGTAGATATATTCTTAGTTTCGTGGCAGTTTTTCTCATATTAAAAAAATATTTTGTATCACTTGATTATGGTGAATTAATCAAAATTGTCAGAGAGGAAAATGTCAGAACAGATTTATTAGCAATTTCTTTGGTGCTAAATATTAGGTTTTACATTAAATTTGTTACTTTTGGGGGGCAGGTATCAAATTCATGTTTTGGGAGAGTCAAGAGTAGAAACATACCAGAACTACAGGTTTTGTTGTATTTAGATCTCTGTTGGTCAGATTTAGAGTGTATGTGGTTTGCAATTCCCCAAAAGTGTTTCCATTTCCTTCCTATTGTATGTAGAGAGGAGTTCCTGCCATGAATCCTGATACTTTAAGCCAGTTTCCTGCAGCTCCTATTCCAACTTTAAGTGGCTTTCCTATGACTCTTCCTACTCCTGTGAGTCAGCCCACTGTGATGCCTTCAGGCCCGGCAGGCTCCATGCCACTCAATCTGGGACAGCCAGTCATGGGCATTAACCTTGTTGGACCAGTGGGTGGAGCTGCAGCCCAGGCTTCCAGTGGTTTCTTGCCAACATATCCAGCAAATCAGGTAAGTGGAGAAGCTGTTCACATTACAAATAATCCCTGGCAGGGAATCTGGGTGACTTTTTTCATGGGGTTGCATACAGAATATTGTTGGATTGTGGTGGAAAATAAATAGTATTCAAACAATACAAGATTTAATCTCTTATTATTTAAAAAGCAAAGGGTATGTCTTAAGCCTTAAACTATTTGAACTTTAGCTAAAGATTTGTAGTTCTTAACATTATATACATTTTAACTTCAAATCTACAAAAAATAAGCATTTTAAAGAAACTGCTAAGGTTGAAGTTAAAGTACTTTTAGTTTTCATTCTTCAGATTAACAAAATTTTTTTAAAGGTATAACATCTAGTATCAATGAAAATATAGGGGAAAGTGACTAATATACTATAGGTTTCATCATGCCACCTTTTTGGAAGACAGGTTTGGAAATAGCTATAGAAAGTTTGTGTCTTTTGATCTAACAGTCACACTATTAGGAATCTGTTAGTAACTCAAAGTAGCAGAGCTATGCAAGGCTATGTGCTGTAGCATTGTTTGTGAGAGTAAAACATTAGGAACAGCTAAAAGTCCTTCAAGAGAAAGATGAGATAAACTTTGGTTTATCTGTACAGTAGTAAACAATTTCAATAAATGAAATTGATCAATCTGTGCTACATAGAAAGATATCCATGTCACACGACTACAGTGTTTTAAAGTATCGAGCAAGTATGCTATAAGCCCATTTTTCTATAAAACAAATGAGCTGTTAGTAATACTGAATTTTACTGTGAGTTGGAATTGACTAGATGGCAGCAAGTTTGGTTTTTGTTTGTTTGGTTTTTCGAAGGTCTGATGTACCCAGTAACACAGTAAATGTTATTTAGCTATTGAAAAATAGGACCGATTCATTCTTTCGCCATTTGGACCAGAGAGTATCTAAAAATACAAAACAAGATTCTTTCAATAAGCACTTAGTTGATGGTACATCTGAAGAATGTTCTTCTGAAGTTGGGCGGTTATACCTAAATAAGGAGCCCTGGTGGTTCACTGGGTTAAGTGTTGGACTGCTAACTGCAAAGTTTGTGGTTCAAACCCACCAACTCAAAACGATTCTCCAATGAAGCAAGATGGCACTGTCCACTCCCATGAAGTTTTACAGTTTCGGAAAACCTATTTAGGGTGGCTATAACTCATAATTGACTCAGTAGCAGTGGGTTTTTAACCTAAATTGGGAAATTTAAAAATATAGTCTTTGTGGTTGTCAGCTGGAGACTTGTTGCTAACCATTTTATCAAAATGATGCTTTTTCTCTTGAAATATCTAAACTTAGGTGGTAAAGCAAGAAGAAGATGACTTCCAGGATTTTCAAGATGCTTCTAAGTCAGGCTCTCTGGATGACTCATTCAGTGATTTCCAAGAGGTGCCTGCTTCTTCAAAAACAAATCATTCCCAGCATGGAAACAGGTAGAAAGGAGTTGGATATATTTAACACTGTCTTTAATAATTAAAAAAGGAGCATCCACACTGAGAAGAATAACTATAAGTAAGAAAGTTATGACTCTCTATGCTAATATTTCCCTTGGCTAGCCTGTCTTTAGTTATACTTTTACGTTTCTAACTTCTTCCCCTTGTCCACCTGAAACTTCTGGTGTGGCACTGTAGGATAACCACTCATCCATAGCTCTGTTTGAACCACAAAGTTGGAGGTTCAAACTCACCAGCCACTCCTTGGAAACCCTATACAGGGTCACTATGAATCAGAACCAACTTGACGGCTCTTAACAACAACAGCCGCAGCAGCAGCAGCAAACCTTAAACTTCAGCTCCTTACACACTTTCAGCTTAAACTGTTTCAGCTCTTTACACACTTGCTTGCAGTATGTTTAGCTGAGTACTCATGTTCCTGTATTAGATCCAGATTTTCAACTGTTGAAAAACTTTATAGGCAGAGGCACAGAATTTGGTATTTTTGTAGTATAATGCAGCATTGATTTTCTACAGATGTCATAATTCTGTAATCTAGTCCTGGTGTGGCACTGTGGGCTAATGCATCAAACTGTAAAGTCGTCTGAACTGCAAGGTCAGTGGTTCAAGCTCACCAACTGCTCCTTGGAAACTCTATACAGGGTCGCAATCAACTCGACAGCACTTAACAACAACAACAAGTACAGTTATTCATTCTCTCTTATATTTGAGACCAGTGGTTTTTAGGCCTTCAGAATTCTATTGGTTTGTTTGACTAGATAGTTGCATGAACACATCTCTAATATTTTAGGTACTGAAACGTTAGGTACAGTAACTGATTCCGCATGTTGTCAACACCTCTCCATCTCACTTTTTAAACACATAATTAGATATTTCTTCCACAGAGTGGAACTCACTGGACTTTGAGTACACAGTATCAATTCTTTTGATTTTGTATTTGGCACTTGTTTCTAGGTGGATGCATATTCCATTTATCTTATCTTGTATCTTATGCTCCTGTTTATGCAAATTGATTCATCTGTTGCAGTTTAGCTAGTTGATCATGTTTTAATTGACATCTTCTTCATGTATACTATAACAGGAGCTCAGAAGCCTCATAGAGAGTTTACAAATAAGGGAAGGACATTATTCTCTAAATATTAAGAATATATTAAACACATATAAAGGACACACAGAAGAAATGAGCACTGGTGGCACAGTGGTTAAGCACTTGACTACAAACCAAAAGATGAGCTGTCTGAACTCACCACAGGAGAATGATGTGGCAATCTGCTTCCATAGACTGGAGACACTATGAGATACTTCTGCTCTGTCCTGGTAGGGTCACCATCAGTTGGAAGCAACTCAGCATCAGTGTGTTAGAAGAAACATAAGATGGGTATTACTGTAAAGACATGGTTTTGCTAAGACTTACACTAGGCTAGCCGTAGAGAAACAATGATATTTCTTGTACCCTAGATCTCTTTCTTAGAACAAAATTATACATTGTAATGGTGTGGGACTGTGGGTTAATGCACTAGACCGAAAAGTTGTTTGAACAGTAAGGTTGGTGGTGCAAGCTCACCAGCCACTCTTCAGAAACCCTATACAGGGTCGCTATGGGTTGGAATCGACTCAGTGGCACTTAACAACAACTACTAACTTGATATCTCTATGTGAATGACCTGGTGTCTCAAATTCACTGTATAAAATTAAGCTTAATTATTTTCCTAGTCAAAGCTAAATGTTGTTAAGTGCTATCGAAAAACCTGTATAGGGTTTTCAAGGCCAGAAGCTTGAAAGAGCTTAGCCACTGTGGAATCATTTTGCTTCTGGCCCACAAGAAAACTGTTTTTTTGCATCTGAAATATAACGGTTCTCATTATTGTTAATTCTAGTTCCATTTCATCTTTCTTAACCCTTTCTCCATCAACCCCCACCTCCAAGATGAACTAAGGGACAGTCCTGCTCTACTGTCATAAAATCAGTTTCTGTCCAGTTGATTCCAAGTTAAGGCAACCCCATATATGTTTCAGTAGAATTGTGCTCCATAAGATTTTCAGTGACTTATTTTGGGGGAGGAGATTGCCAGGCCTTTCTTTCTGTGTTTATCAAGCCTCCATATGTATTAGTACCTTATACATATGATCAAGAGCCAATGCTACTGAAGGAGGAAGTCCAAGGTGCATTCAAGGAATTGCCAAAGAACAAGGCACCAGGAATTGATGGAATGAAAATTGAAATCTTTCAAGAAAGTGAGGCAGCACAGGAGGCACTCATTCATCTCTGCCAAGAAATTTGGAAGACAACTATCTGGCCGACTGATTGGAAGAAATCCATATTTGTGCCCATTCCAAAGAGAGGTGACCCAACGGAATGCAGAAATCATCGGACAATCTCTTTGATATCCCATGCAAGTAAAGTTTTCCTAAAGATAATACAGAAACAGCTACAATCATATATTGACCAAGAACTTCCAGAGGTTCAAGCCGGATTCAGAAGAGGCCGTGGAACGAGGGATATCATTGCTGATGTCCAATGGATCTTGGCGGAAAGCAGAGAATATCAGAAAGATGTTTACCTATGCTTTATTGACTACGCAGAAGCTTTTGATTGTGTGGATCATGACAAGCTATG